TGCAGCCAGTCATGCTGTGTCTGCAGCTCTCCACTCCAGAGCTGGTTTTCATCACAGCTCTTCCCCACTTCTCCCACAGCCTCCTGCAGCACTGTATGGGTCACAGAAGTTTCTCTATTCAAGGCAGCCTGATTGCTAGCGAGCACAACACTGTCCTGGAGAGCAAAAGGTACATGGTGCAACCCAGCAGCCTGGAGATAAACGATGGCTTACATTTAATGATAAATGATGCTTACATTTAATCAGCTCCTTCTGTGTTGTACCAAGTGTTCTGCTATAGGTCTGCATCGCCTGTCATGTGCTCGCACCCACTCTCCAACTGATTCATTATTTCATCCCTGAGAGAAGCACATGCAGGCTGCAGGTCATGTTATATATATCTTCAAAGTCTTCTCCGGAGTTCCTGCGTCAGCTCGTCCTCCTCTGTTTGATACCCCAGGAGTGGTGCGCAGGCCTGTGTCGGGTCCCTGAATAGACACGCAGAGTCTGTTGCTGAGTGAGCATCTAATCACCTGTCAGGAGCAATTTCAAGCTCCTTATTCTCTCGGTCGCACGTCTTGTCTTCTGTAACGAGGCTTTGTATTGTAGAGGCCTTCAGCTGACTCTTTCGGTGACTGTAGCGCTGGGACATTCAAACAACTCCATCAATGCACTAGAGCCAGGGACCCAAATATTACCAGGTCCCAGGTTTCAAGACGTGCTATTTCAAATCTGGGGACAGCACCAAAATAATCCTGCTAATTTCAGAGGCCAAAAAAAACTTTGAAAGCTCAAATATCCAGTGTCTCACAGACTATTTCAGGATGGTGATTGTGTCCATCCTGAATTTCTTTGCAGGCTAGTGAAATCACATCGTTCTGCTTAGCAACACGTGTTCCCTCCTTCCACGCTGACCCGACTGTGACAGCCAGTCACTTGGGGTCTGTGTGCCCAGGCTGCCCAGGGAGCAGAGGCGTTGCCCCCACTAGATGCTTCCTTCTGGAGGTGATGTGGTCAAAGGTAAGTAAATACACTGATGGCCCACTAACTGCTCTGCTGGTGTTGCTTTCCCCAGGAACTGGAAGAAGCCCAGGAGCTGAGACTCTATACAGTTTGCAAGCCAGGCTGCCATTATCTAACGTCCTGAGGGGGGATGAAAAGGTTGGTTGCCAGGTTGGTTTCAGGGCATTGCAAACCCTCCACCTCAGAGCCCTCAGGCTGGTGAGGACATGTTCGAGCAGGGCATTTCTCCACTTCCATGCAGTTTCTCTGCCCCTCTGATGCCAGGGGAGCACGCTGGCCAGCCGCCTGTGGCAGGGGACGGGCAGCAGCACCCTGCTACAGCCATAAGTTCCGTGTGCCACGTCGAGGGGCACAAATAATAAGAAAAGGGGAGCAAATATCATATATTGAGCACATGCAACCAGGCAGGCCTGTGAGGCAGAAGCAGGGCGGGCAGGCAGCAAAGCGGCAACTAGAAGGACTGGACTCCAAACCCAGATCGTCTCTGCCTAACTTCTCAGGGCTGGAGTGGCTTTGCAGGCTTCTCTCCAAGAAAAAAATCAAAGCGGTAGCGGATAACTGAACTGCTCCCAGCGTGGATGCTGGTCCTCTCAGAGCCTGCCTTCCCTCAGCATCAAACCTTTCCACCCCCGAGCCCCCAGCTCTGACCCACGGCACTGCCCGGGGAGCCAGTCCCAGCCCCGTGGGGCCAGCCCGGGAAGATGGGACCTTTCAGGGATGCCGGGACCTGCGAGGATGCCAGCCTTGCTTTCATCTCTAGATGGTGCTCTGAGGCCGGGCAATGGCCCGGCTCCTGCAGTTCGTGCTGTGCCACTCCGCCTCCCTGCGCTGCGTCCTGCCGGCGGGAGCACAGCCGAGTTGGGGAGGGCAGGACTCCCACCCTGCTGACCGTGGCAGGAGGAGAAGCCTGTGTAGCCCCTCCAAGAGCCAACTATCATCTCAGCTCCTCCTGCTGTGGCATCCTCCGGCCGTGGGATACTGTGCTACGGGCGGCTGCAACGACAGATTGCCTCCCCATCCCTCTGCTGTCCCCCTTTACCTGCCCCAGCGGGGCTGCCCCAGCTGGACCTACACTGCCCCATGCTTTCAGCATCCCAGCAGGCTGCCTTCCCTCCTCTCCCCCTCCTGCCCGGCCGGCAATAGTCCGTCCCGGCTTTGCGGATTTAGCACAGGGCCGGTGCCTGCGGGGTTTTCCAATAGTGGCACTCCATTAGGGCCCAGCTCTGCTCTTACCACCGGCAATGGCAAAAGTCCCATTGACTTCGCGGGGGCAAGAGCAAGCCCTTAATGGCCTGGGAAGGTAAGGGTTGTTTTTTTTCTGGTGGTTTTTTTTTTTGGTGACATTTAAAACCATGACCACTTCATACTGCCTGTCCAAAAGCTGGGAAAGACCGCAGGCCCGCCTGCAAAGGCAAAGAAGGGCTGCTAAAGCTCGAAGCGAGCAGAGGAGGCATTTTGCCACAGAGAGGTCACGAGCCTGTGTGCAGCTGCTGGGGCAGCATCGTGTGCCCTGCTCTGCTCCTGGGCAAAACCTGGATGAAACCGAGCTGTCGAAAAGGAGCGCATTTGTTCAGCAGCACGGGCGTTTTCAACACCATTTCCTGATCATGGAAATCCAAACCTGTTTTCTCCCCATTTGAGATTATTGTTGTGTTTCTTGAAAATATTTTTAGTCGCAGTGTGTATCAAAATGTTTTGCTGAGCAAGTTTTGAGTGAGTTGAAAGGTGCCAATGATGGTTTCTTTTCAAAAGGATTGTCCAAAAGTGTCACCAAAAATAAAACACGAAACAAGTTTCTCAAGTGTCATTTAACACAACAACAACAACATTCATCTGAAAGCTGGCAAGAGTGACAGCAGCGTAGTTAGTTGTCATGGGCTGGAGGATCTGAACCAGTGCCTGGATCTTATTCATAGGGGAAACGTTCTTCCTCTCCCCATTATCTTTCTGGTATTTGAATAGCTTTCAATAATGAGCCAAGGAAATCATTGAGAAGTAAGGCAGGAGAGAAATATAGGTTGTGGGCAGATAAACAAAGTAGCAGTGTCTCCTGAAAAGCAAGCTGCCAGCATCTCGGGATTAGGGGCAGGTCTTGGTGAAACAGTCCCTCCATCAGATCCTGGAGGAGGGAGGAGTGCAGGGACATGGTGCTCTGGCATGCAGTAGAGGTGTCTCCTCTGGAGAGCACAGGACAAGAAAGTGTCACCTACCTGAAAGGTGATGCTCCACATATTGTATGCAACAGCCAAAATGTGAGGTATGTGTATGCGGCTGTGAATTGCTTGGAGAGCTGATTTGTAGACTCCTTAAAAATGTGTAGTCATCTTTAGAGGAAAGAGCCTTCTGAGGTGGATTCTTCTGGTGGCCTTTTGTGGGCTGTATAAAGCAGTCCCCAACCTACAGCCGTAGAGACGCTTGTTGAGATGAATGCTGCTATCACATGGCACTTGTGTGTATGTCCTTGGGTGTTTATGGGATGAAGTTGTGATGTAGGATGGGTTATGCCCCCATGTGTGGTGCACACATGTAAGTATGTGCAGCGTGTACTTGGGCACAAGTACTCTGTGATTCGAGCGTGCAGGTACAGAAGTACCTGTGCCGAAGGATGTATGTACCACTGTGCATCAGCAAAGCCTGTGGGCATGCTTGCAGAGGCAGAAGAGCACTTTTTACTGGGAGGAGTGAACTCACCGTGCTGTCAGATGGGTTATGTGTGCCCAAGGAATGTACCATTTTGGCAACATAAGCACAGCTGCTGGAGGAGCACCTAACAGGCAGAGGTTTACCCATCACCTCTGTTCTGCTGCACTCTGGCTGTTCCTCTCCTTCGCTCTCCCCCCCTCCCCTCAGCCCCATTCTCTCCCTTGAGTCTTCCTCAGCCGTCTCCTGTCTCTCTAACAATGTGACAGTGTTGCCAGCTTTCTCCCAATTTTTTTGTGAACAGCAGGGGTTTAGCTGTGTTTTCCTCAGCGCCTCAGTGTCCTCTCCACCATGATGCCAAACATGACATGAAAAAGGCCAGCAGGTTCAAACGTATGGAGGAGGCTGGGATCCCAGTGTAGCTGTGTGATGCTTGTTACTTAGCATTATCACAACCCTTTCCCATTTTCCCCCCAAGAGTCACATTGTGTGAAGAGAGGGGTGGCAGTGCTGGCCTGTGTGCCACCTCCACCGCCCTGGCTGTGCATGCTCATGGCCCCGGTGCACCTCAGCTGCCGTGTCCTTGCCCAGGCTCCCTGGACCCTCATTCCTTGGAGATGAACCTCCCAAGAGCTCACAGCCTGTGGGCACTTCATCCCCACTAAGCGCTGCCACCTGCTCCCAAAGGATGCTGTACCTTGGCAGTAGGGTGCCCAGGCATGCAGTTCCCCCTCTCCTGGAGGCCACCACCTCAGTTTGTGTCCTGGATGCTCGTGTCCTCTCACACAGAGTCCTTCTCTCTCGGTCCATTAGGTTGTTTCCACTGCCATGGCCAATGGCAGGCACCCAGCTCTGAAAGCTGTATTAAAAGCCAGGTCAATACCAGCCCCTGCTTATTCCCTCTGGGGAAAATAAATAAATAATAAAAGGAGGGAGGGAGGGACTTCATTAATTAGCAATGGGGAGGTGAGGTGGGACAGGGACCCACATGGAAAAATGAGGCTGTGTATCAAGCCACACATGTGAAAAGCCAGGATCTATGAACTCCTGTTCCCACCCTGCCTGCGATGGGAGGAGAGGGAGGCATCAGGATCGATGCCTTTCCCTCCCGTCTCTTGATACCCTGCTCTTCGGTTATCACCTGTCTGCTCTTCTCTCATCTTCCCGTCACCTTCTCTTCCCTTCTTGGCAAGGCTTCCTAAAGGTGTCAGCTCACTGCTTGGGTGCAGAGCAAACCTGTGCAGGGAGGCTGTCCCCCCGCAGAACTTGCACACCAACACGAGAAATGGCCATGACTGGGTCTAGACCCAGCTTCTTAGTCTATCCCTACTCTTTCTCAAGTGCACTCCCATATTACCTCACTTTCTCTTCTTCTTTTTCCCTTCCTCCTCCTCCTCCTGCTTGCTGTGCCTACTTCTTCCTCTCACTCCTGCTATTTCCTTCCTTCCCCTTCTGCTTCTTCCCTTCTTCCTCTTGCTTCTCAAACCAATTCCAAATTGATATTGAGGTGCTATTTTTCTGCTTTGTAGATCAGGGGTTGGGTGGAACATAAATTCTTCATCCATTCCCCCATAGCACAAGTGTTGGGTGCCCAGAGCAGCTTCCTGAGCTGCCTGTTTGTCTTTCTGTCGTCATAACACCTACAGTTTTGAAGGAGTGAGTCTGCTGCTCCTAAAGGAAAAGGCTCACTAGGTTTTTGCGTCTTTTGTGAAATGACAGCAAAGCGATGTTGCAGGTCTAGCTCTGGTTAATGCCCTCATGTTTCCTCTAGTTCTTACCTGACTCTAGCAAAAAAGAGGAATTGGGTTTTTATAGATCTTTTTTTTTTTTGAGCCTTACATCTGCAGCAGTGTCTTGTATGTCTCTGCCTCTTCATCAAGCATATCTATGACCCTTCCCTGGGCAAAACTCTAGTTATCTCCAAAGCAAGCCATCCCATCCTACTGGTAATTTTAATGCAAATGCTTCCCTCCATACCTACATTTTTTATGATTTTTTCCCCGAGCAAATTATCTGAGCCTCTTATTGTGGGTCTTTACCAGGGAGGCCGAGAACCACGGAAGCCCTCGTGGTGGAGGTTCCGGGCACCAATGCCATACAAAGAGCGAACACCAGCACTAATAACTCTCATCAGTCTCTATACCGTACTGCAGCCTTGGGGTCTCTCCTTTGCTTCCAAACCTCCCCCTGGGATATTAGACTTTATTAAAAATAAATAGTTACAAATTCAGTTTTACAGCTGATGGCAGCAGGGAGAACGGAGGAGGTAAAAGGAACAAGTCGAGGGTCTGCTGTCCAGTCAGGTCACTTGTCTGTCATCCCGGCCACACTGTGCCAGGGAGCAGTCTGAGTGTGCAAGCACAGGGCACTGCCTCCTCTGCCAGGCATCTCAGGAGAGGAGCAGGACTTCTTTTTCTAGAGGACTGGGAGAATTGGGTCTGAGTCCGCAGAGCCAAGCTGCTTCTGGAGGTGACAGATGCCAAAAGCCAAGGAGAGTGCAGAGTAGGCTACGTAGAGCGTCCTTATCTCCTAGCTTGGCATTTGCAGTGGAAGAATATGGATTTCAGTTCTCACTCTGTTTTATATACAAAGAGTCATGTGCAACAAGCAATAAACATGCAAGTAAACCCCTCCCTTGAGATCCTTCCCCACTCCCTCCAGGAGTCCTAAACTCTCCCGTTCATCCTCATCTGGTCAGTGCTTAGGTATCACTCCTCTCCTAGTGATGGTCATGACTCTTGACAGCCATTGGGCCTACCCACTTCAAGAGGGAACAGAAAGTCTGCTGTTGCCTCAGCAGCAGAAACACTTGCTGTGGGTCCTGGTCTGTCCTTGGAGGCCACGGACTCCTGTCGCCTCTCCAGAGATGAGAAACCAAGCATGGTGCTCTCCTCTCTCTGGGCAGGAAAGGGATCCTAGCACAAGCTGCACACACTGGAAGAGCAGTGTGCCCTCACTCCTCTCCCAGGCAGTATGACTTCATGGGAAAGGGCATATATCAGAGCAGCTCCAGGCCTTGATGTACTCAGGGGCTGAGAGGCAGTCACGGGAGGCATTTTTTGGTGGGCAAGGGGCTTATCCAGCTATGTACGGGTGCAGAACGGAGGAGGAGACGGTGGGTGACGGGTGTGGAATGGGGAGGCTGGAGAAGTTAGATGGCTGACTCCCTGCGGTATGAGATTGTATCTAGGGGCAGAGTTGCCTGGAGCCGCTCCAGGTCCAGGTGGCTTCCAAAATCCATCATCTGGATGACGCCTCCCTCTTCTTTAGTGCTACCCCCTAACACCACACCCACTTCGTCATCATCTTCATCTTCGTCTTGACTGACAAGAGCCAACTCATTCTCATAGCAGAAGGCACTGGGAGGTGGGGGAGAAGGTAGGATAGTCATCTTGCTTTCTTGCAGCTCCCGAGCTGAGCAGCAAGGTGTGCCGGCTACCTCATAGGTCTTGTGAAAGCGCGAATAATCCACTTTGTAGTGGTTCTTCTCCTCAAACACAACTGGTTCAAAACGGTGACCCCAAAGGATTTCGCTAGCGAGGTAAGAGCTTCGTGCCTGTGTGGTCATGGCTGTGGCTTCCACCATCCCCTCCAGGATAACAACAATCTCAAAGTTCTCCGTCTCCAGCTCCTCCTTGCCAATCCCATAGAGCGGGCTCTCCTCATCGATCTCATGAACGATAATAATGGGTGAGACTAAAAATATACGGTCGAGGCCCACGTCATAGCCCACATTGAGGTCCCGCTGGTCCAGGGGAAGGTATTCCCCTTCCTCTGTCATGTAGGGTTTGATGAGCTGGGCTCGGACGTGGGCCTCCACAATGTGGCTCCTCCTCAGGTTGCCCACCCGCCACATGAGGCACAGTTTGCCATCCCGCACAGAGATGACTGCATGGTGACTGAAGAGGAGGGTCTGGGCCCGCTTCTTGGGCCTTGCCATCTTGGCCATGATGGTGCCAATCATGAAGGAGTCAATAACGCAGCCCACGATGGACTGGACCACAACTGCCATGATAGCCAGCGGGCACTCCTCAGTCACGCAGCGGAAGCCATACCCAATGGTTGTCTGTGTCTCCACTGAGAAAAGAAAAGCCCCTAGGAAGCTGTTCACGTGCATGATGCAGGGCTTGAGGAGAGAGGGACCACCTCCCACTGCTGGTGCATTGAGGTCACCGTGGAAGAAAGCGATGCACCAGAAGAGGAAGCCAAAGAAGAGCCAGGAGACCAGGAAGGCGGCGGAGAAGATCATAAGCATGTACCGCCAGCGCGTGTCCACACAGGTGGTGAAGATATCAGCCATGTAGCGCTGAGACTTGTTGCTCAGGTTGGCAAAGTAGACGTTGCACTGGCCATTCTTCTTCACAAAGCGGTTGCGATGCTTCCGCCGGGGGGCATGGCCCTTCCCATTCCGGCTGTGCCCGTTCATGCTGCCCAGCGAGGAGACCTTGTGTCCATCCTCTTCAGTCGAGACAATGCTGTACCTGGAAGAGAAGAAACATGCATTTCCGGGAGAAATACATGCAGAAAAACAGCAACCACTGAGACAATGAGGGCAGGAGACATTTAGGTGGGCCACAGGGCTACGATACCATGGTGTTGAATATCACAAGAGCACATTTCTCTGGTTATTGCACTGTGGTGCCACCCTGACCAAATTGGTGGAGCTCTGCTGCAATATTTGCCACGTCTTGCTGCCATGAGGTTGTATCTAGCAAACTCCTGACAGGGCAGCAAAGCAGGAGAAGCTTGTAGCGCTGTGCTTCCTTCCAGCCGTTGTGGTGAGGAGGGACCCAAGGCTTCGAAATCTGATGGCATCTGGGACAGCCAGGAAGCCTGGGAGCAAGCACCCGTGGTCTGGCCACATTTTGGACCTGGCATTATATAAGGCCATGAGTTTCTATTTTTTCCTCCACTCTCCTCACTGATTTCATGGTGCGTCGGTGACAGTGTTTATACACTTCCTGCGCTCAGGACAATTCTGTTGCCACAGCAACATGCGTAGCTCCCAGCATCCTGCATCTGAAGCCAAAGGTGTAATTTGGAGATCAACAGCCAAAGTACTGGCAGATTTCCCTGGGAGAAGCTCTGCAAACAGTTTCTGGGAAATGTTTGCCCCTCTGGCTCCCCTCCCTCGCAGGTGGCACCGCTGCTGCCCCTTGTGTGCTGCTGGGTCTACAGTTGCAGATACTCCTTAAAGATGTGACAGCAGAAGATGCTGTGACCACTGAGGAAATCAAAGGAGCGCACAGACCCACCAAGACCACTCTGCCCTTGTGACTGCTGAGCCCTGGCTTCCCAGGACCTGTTGGGCTGGCAGTGCCTCCCTCCACCCCTTAGTGTTGACATGTCAGCTGGAGCCCTCCAGCATGGTCTCTGTGACCCTCATCCTCCTCTCATGGGAAGAGGGAGCAGGGGAAGCACGCATGGCTGGATTTGGGACTCCTGGGGATTCCTGGGGACAGGGGGCTTCTGCAGCACTGCTTGCATCTGTAATTTCTGGACCAGCACCACGCAGTGCTGGTAGCACTCCTCTGTAGCGCTCTTCCCGTATATGGTGTGTCTTGGATTGGAGAAGGAGAAAGGAACCATACCTTGCAGCAGGAAAGCCCCTGGCAGGTAATTTGAGAAGAATATACCAAAAGGCAGGTTGGAGGTAGGGCCTGAGGGGCCAGGTGAGGAGGACCAAGCCACCTTGGGCAGCAGCAGTCCTTGAGAAGGGTGTTACTCACCGGTTGACTCGGACACTGCCCATGGCTCGCTGTATCATCAGGTGTCAGAGGGCCGTGGGAGCTGGGAGGGCACGGGTTCTCACGCAGCAGCGCTCACATGGGACCAGGCGGCTCCAGGTTTCACCTCTGGCAAGCTGGGGTCTGTGCTGCCATTGCAATTGCTCCTGGGCACGCGCCTTGCAGAAAAGGACGAAGCAAAACCCAGTCAGAGCCTTCCCTGACAGCACCTGTCCCAGTCCTGGAGCTGGGGGGGGTTGCAGGGCTCCCAGCCTTTTGCTCAGGAATGGTCTTGAGGTGTCCACGGAGCACTGTGCTGCAGCCTGGATCCAGAAGGTGAGGAGCTGATGGATGCAGACCAGGTTGCACAGCTTGCAGCCCCCACGATCCCCAGCATCTACCAACAGGAGAGGTGCACGGCTGGCCGGTCACTGCTCTCCAGACCAAGGGCACGACTGAGCAGCTTGCAGGGCCCTTGCCCTGAGCCATTATATTAATATCATAGCTTACGCTAGGACGAGAGCTCAGCCAGGCTAAATACCTCGCACACAAGGACTAACGGAGCACAGACATGCACGACAGCCCCCAGGGATGCCCATCAGCCCAGCCTGACCCAGAGGGGATTTATTTCCAGGGGGTGCAGGACATCCCCCTTGTTTCAAAGAGGAGAAGAAAAGCAATGGGTAGAGCCAAAAGGGAGAAATGATGGAAAGGAGGGGCTTGGGGGTAGCCGAGGAGAAGCCAGTTAGAGCAAACAGACCTTGCAACGTGCCTCGTGTACAGCATCCAAGGAGTGGCTTAGCAGCAGAGCCCCGGGGAGGATGTCCAGCAGATGTTATGTCCCGACCTGGTCCTCCCCAAACTGAAGAATGGGGAAACAGAAGACTCAAGAGCTGACCTATCCCGTCTGCCCAGAGCTGCTGGGAAGTGAAATGCAGTGAGGGGGTAATGACTCACAGATTAGGAAGGGCTTTGTACACCCATGTTAATCCTGCACTGTAACCTTTGGATTACAGCAGCCGGTGCCGGGTGCCGGACACAGACACAGCCAGCTAGTTTGCTTCATCCCAGCCTCACTGGTGAGCAACCAGTGGTTGCCATATCTGGGACAAATCCAAGGATTTCTGGGTCAAATTCAAGGTTTAGAGCTGCTTGCAAGTGGTCACGCACAGACAGGAGAGAGGAACAGCAAGTGATGTTGTCAGGGACAGAAAAGCTGGTGAGAAGCATCCTTGTCTCATCATCAGTGTTGCAGAATGGGGCTTCATGTGGCTAAGGGTGACGACCAGCTTTCCCCAGCTAGGAGTACAGACTAGAAAGCAGCAAGTAAGGATCTCCAGACGTTACCTCTGATGTGCAAGCACTGTCGTTGTCATGTCTGGGATGAAGATTAACTGGCAGTTATCCTCCAGAGACCAAGGATACTGAGGCAATTTAAGCCCTGTGGCAACACAAACATGGTTGCACAGTCCAAGGATACTATGGGACCAGAAGACAGCAACCTTGTAGTCCACAATTCACCACATAACTGTAAAAGTGAACAGCTGCCCAAAAAATCCCATCAGGAAAAAGCACTTTGGCACTGAACTCTGCCAGCACCAACCATCTCACCACCCTACAGTGTTCCTTTAAGGAGGGTCAATTTGGCCAGATACAGGAAATTTTGTTGTGCAGCTGGGTAAACCTACAACAGAAACTGTGTTCGGTAACCTAAATTCGTAAGAATTGTGGAGGGATGACTAGGTGATGAAGAAAGGTCTCTTCATCCCCACAGATGGTCCCACTAGGATAAAGCCAAGACATATCTTCAGAGATTACGTGGTGATTTTTGGCTACAGGGTCCCATAGTTCTTTAGGAGGTGACAAAGATGGGCAATTTTGGTATACCCCTCTATGCTGGCACCAGCAAAGAGAGGAAGGGCATCCTCTCCAACTGGTGCCTACCTTAGCCAGCCTGGATAAACCAAGCTCACCCTTAGCCAGCACTGACACCAATGCTGAAGGCACTGCCCCAGATCATTTATGGATACTTCACAACTTCCTAAAGATTTCTGATCACCACCACCCCCTTTTTCCCCAGCTGCAGGAACGGGTGCACAATTTCTAGAGACTTCGGATTTCTGGCCATGGTGGTGGCCACTTCCAAAAGAAGAGGAAGGAGAACCTAAGGACATTCAAAACCTGCCTGGATGCTGTCCTCTGCAACCTGCTATAGATGACCCTGCCCTGGTGGGGGCTTGGACTAGATGATCTCCAGAGGTCCCTTCCAACCTTGACCATTCTGTGATTTTGTGAAATTATGTGCAGCAGCACCCAGATCTCTGCTCCTAACCTTCCCCACATCACCGAGAAGGGGCAAAGGAAGCAGATGAAACTCAGGCACTGCAAGCGCTGTGCTCATCTCCAGTTCTGGCTGGTACAGCTGAGGGAAGGGATGGGCACACTGTTTAAGAGTGCTGCATCCCATGCTGCTGTGTTTCCTCCTGGCTCCCATATGGGAGCTCAAGTCAGCTGGAGCTGTGGCATGGCCTCTTGTGTGGAGCCCACCACAAACGGATCTTGCAGATCAGAGCCTGGGAAACATTTGCTGCTGGCTCCACCGTGCCAGAACAGAGCATCAGCAGCTAAAACTACATCACTACCTGCAATTTGTACTTAATCACAAGAAAAGTATTTCCATGAAGAATAAAGGCTACAAATCTGAACACACACACACACACATTTGAACACGAGAGCAAACAGCTTTAGTATAGGCTGCAGTGAGAGACCCGTGGTCTTGGTCCATATTCTCATCCATAGGACCCACACAGAAGAGAGTTCATAGCTCTTTTTCTACTTCAACTTCAGAAATTTTGCCAGTAGATTCAAGGACCTCAGCAACAAAATGCAGCGACTCTGCTCCAGAGGCAAGCTGTCTGATGGACCAGTTTGTGCCTGTTATTATCTTGTGGAGGTTCTGCAAGGCAAAGTCTATGTTCTGCTTCACTGCCCCCAGGTCAGTCGTTTGGCCTGCTCTCAGGTTTTCATTCTCCGCCTTGGACCTCTCCAGCTCTCCCTGGAGAACAGAGATTTCCTGCTTCAGCTTCTCCACATTGCTTTCTGCCTCCAGAGCCCGCTGGGTCATTAGCTGGAGACTCCACTTAGTCTGCTGGACAAAGGACTGTAGCTCTTGGACTTTCCTCTCCTCTTTGGCCAGGCTGGCCTTCATCTGCCTCTGCAGCCTCTGCACACTGCATGCCTGGCTCTCCAAGGAGCTCTGCATGCTGCTGACCACCCTCCTGAGTATGGTGTTCTCCTCCCTGAGCACATCGTGGGTCAGCTGTGGGGATGGGAACTCCCTGTCCCCGATGGCCTCCTCATGCAGCATGTGAGGCTCTGCTCCCCTGGTGTGCTCAGAGTACCCCAGATAAGGGTCACTGGCATGAGCCCATGGGGCAAAGGCATCCATCCCCAAGTGCTTGCCCATGCTATTATACTGGAAAGAGTTATAGGAGCCACATGGTGCCACACTGCCAGTTTGGAGAACACATGACCTTTGATGCACAGGAAGGTGATAGGTCCAGCTGCAGTCCCCATCTTCGGACAAGTTGCCAGGCATTTCCACATCTTTATAAAATGGTTCCTGAAACTCCTGAGCTTCCTCCTCAAGCTCCACTGCATGCTTGGCCAACCTCTTGGCATATATTCTGTTTTTCACTCCTTTGGCTTTCACCGTGTAAGAGTGCCTGGGATTTAGGGAAGATGGGATAGGTTCTCCCAGATCTTCCCCCTGACTGTCACCCAAGCTGTCAGAGCTCTTGCACTGGAGTGGAGGACGTGTGGAGTGGTAGAAGTAGCTGAATTCATCATCATTGTCATCATCATCGTCATCATCTTCCAAACCTTGAGATTCTGGGCAGACCCTCTCCATTGTCCCAGAGATCCCAAGCAGCTGTGACATTTTTCAGGACTCTTTGGGCTGCAGCAAGGGAGAGAATCCAAATTATCCTCCTGGAGCCTGGGTCACACAGGCAGGTGACACTGACAAGCAGCGTGCCAACTTCTGCAGCCTCAGTGACGCTGCTGGGGGAAGAGGCAGTCACCAAAGCCCTCCATTTACATCACCAGGTTATTCAGGAGGTACCAGAGAGGAGGACTAGGCATCTCTGTGTCTTTGCTATGGGGAGCACAGGAATCACCAAGATCTGTGATGTCGTCATGTGACTTCACTGCCTGCTGTGAGGTCATGACCAGGGAGGAGAGGAACCGACCAACTGCAAAAGTGCTGTTTTGGCAGCAGGAGGGTAAGCTGTATTCCTGTGGCTGCAGAGCCAACCCCAGCTGGGGGATACTGCTAGTGGGCAGAGAGAAGCTCCTGAAGCCACCTGAGACCTCCAGCATTCAGGGGGGACAGAGACCAGCCATCCCCAAGCAGGCAGCATGGCGCAGAGGGGACAGCCCTGCCCCGCAGGCCACTGAGACATCTCCAGCAGCAACACCAAGCCGCTGGCATTTTGGTCCCAGGGCTTACCCTGGGCAGAGGCAGGAGACATCACCAGTGCTTTGGCCAGAGGCATCGCCCCGAGCTGGCCAGCCAGCAAGGGGTCTGTGCCGTGGTGCTGCCGATCTGATTCATCCCCTGCTGCCAGCTGGCGCAGGAAAGCGTTAGTAATACTGGGCGCCACAAACTTGGAGCGGCACGAGCCAGGAGACGAACGAAAATAAACCCACTTACCACTTCCACCCCAACACACCCGCACAGCGCGCGGTGCCGCTATGGGAAAGACAGACAGGCAGGTGAGAAGCCCTGGACTGGGGACTGCCATCGCGTTGGGCTGGTGTTCACATTAGCTCCCCCAGAGGTGCCATGCCAGGAGGTGATGTAGCCACCGTCCCTCCTCAGCAGCCCAGGGCCACTGCTGACATCACTGCCTGCAAAATGGATGCCACCAGCTCAGCAAGGCCAGGGGCCATTCCAGGAGCCTGAACCCTGTGCAAACTCAGTTTAAACAGTTGTGAAATGGTCCCGCTGCTCCTTGGAAACCTGAAATGCAAATGGGATGAAGGGGGAAGGCTCAGAGATTCCTCCAGCAAAAGCCGATGACATTCATGTCCCAAACAGGCAGCTGCCTGTCACGCGGACAAAGGGGAGGAAAGCCTGGCCGAGAACAGAGATGTGAATCCCTGAGCATGCCTGAGGACCTTTCTTGGAGCTTGCTCTGCCTCCTGGGACCCACATGTGGAGGGGGAAGTTGGGGGATCAGGGGCAGCTCCTGGAGAGTGGGATGAAACCCCACCAATAGGTGCAGCATGGGGCACCCAGAGAGACGCTAGGCAGGAGACTGCAGTCAGGAGAGCTGCCTCTCCATCCCTCTGCTGCCCTGTCCTCCGTGTACATGAACACCCACGTATTTCATGGCCTGACGAAGCCCCCCAGCACTTTGGGAAGCCTCGGCAGCGTGGGCATCACAGACGCTGTCTTGCAGCGTTGAAGCTATCAGCCAGGTGGGTCTCCAGGGGCCAACAGCCACCTCCAGCCCTCCAGCCTGTGTTGCCCTTCCCTCCTTCCCAAACACTTCCCCCCTCCTGCACCCTAGATTGAGCGAATCCGGGGACACCACTGCTGAACTGCAGTCATCCCTGCCTTCCTGGGTAACACCGCTCTCCCACAGCACAAGCCATTGTGCCAGCCCACGCTGTCACCCCAGCGCTGCTCTGACCCCGAGCAGATGCATGGGGCCAGGCTGCCGCCATCGCTTTCTGAGCAATCTGCAAGGTAAGAACAACAACATCAGGGCACATGGTGCTGATGCAATGCCTCCATCGTTCCATCCCAGTACCCGGTGCAGTGCCTCGCACATCCCAGGCTTTCTCCAGCCTCTGCCAGAGCGGATCATATTTGACAATCCTTCCTTTAATTTGCGGTGGAAGAGTCTCATGAAACAGAACAGAAAAGTCCACGCCGAAGCACTCCCCCACTTCTCTTTTTATAACAACCGTATCTGGTGCTCTGGGATGTACACCGTGAACGACAATGATGGAAAAATCCCAGGGTATTTTTACACTCTTAGTCTTTGCTTTATCTGGAGTCGTCTGGCAAATGTTTCCCTCCTGTCTGTGGTCAATACCGCAGGCGCTGGTTGTGCCACACTTTGTGCCTTTATTCCTTTTACCAGCTGGGTAGCACTGTCTGGTTTTGAGATCAACATCACAGACCCATCCTGCCAGCTCGGGCACGGTGACAACACAGCAGACATCTTCTCGCCCTTCTTGGAGTCAGGGTGGAAACACCCACAGCAGAGAGGAGACCCTTTGGCTTTTTGCAGAGCCTTGAAGACCCATAGCATTCGGTTTGTCCTCTCCATCCTTTTTGTAACTCCACCTTATATCATCTTCCTCACAAATATTCCTGGGGTTCATGCTGGGGCTTATAGGGCAGTTCGGTGCCATGGGGCTGTCTCGCTGCAAGGGGCAGTGGCCAAGCTCTCGCTCCTCCGTGCCGGCAGGGCTGGGTGCTAGGCACTGGACAAACACGCGCGAAGGCACAAGTCACCGCGCGGGAGAGTTTTACCATATTAAAAAGGCAAGTGACATATGGAAGGTGAGGGGAGGAAGCTGTAATCAACTCCATACCATTTTTATATACACACTTCTGCCTTTTCGTTCAATAATTATAAATAGATCGAGTAAGTGCCAACAGTCCCCATCTGCCCCGCAAGGCACGATCCGCTGACCAGTTTCTTTCTCCAAAAGAGGATTTTATTAACGTGCCTCTGCCCAGTTTATATTTCGGGGTGGAGTGAGAGAGGGGGATTTTTTTCCCCCCTTGTGAAGCCCTGGAGCCTGGGGATGGGTAATATGAAAACAAAACAAAATGATTTGAAGTTAAACCATCTCAGTGTGTGACTCAGAGCTATTCATAGCTCCCTGAAGCCAGCTGCAGCAACGGAGCCAGAAGGATTCTGCCCGTATTATTATTCCAATTACCATCTGAATTAAAAGTTTGAGCAGTGATCAGCCCACATACTGACGGGAGGGGGAGAGAAGAAAGCGAGAGAGAAGGAGAGAAAGAGAGAGAGGGAGAAAACACAGATAAAAATGGGATCCACACAAAGGTCTCCGGGATGACAAAGTCGGGAAGAGGCACGGAAAGGTGACAGCATCACCTCCTGCCTGCTCCCACACCACCCCGGTGATCCCTGCTCCGGCTGCACCAGCCGGGCAATGGTGCTGCAAAAGCAGCCTCCCGCTCCCTGGGATCCCGGCTGAGAGAGTGGGAACCCCACAGCGGGGCTGATGGGACTGGTACAAGGGCTCATCCACTCTCCTCTGGACAAAACAGGGCTCAGGGGACGAGAGGCAGGGGATGGGGTGCAGCCGAGCAGGAGCATAAGGAGAGGATGCTGCTGGGGCGGCGGCTGGGGAGAAGTCCCCCCTTTTTCTTGTTGAGTGAGGTAGGTGGGTGTTATTCTTCGTGGCTGGCATCACAGGGAAAATTAAATGCTCAGAAGGCCCCTGGTCTTCCCTGAGTGGTGTTCCTGGCCAAAAAGGAGCCAGGCTTTTGTGGCAGCCAGGGCACAGACCGTGTCCCATCTGCTCCCAAGGAAGTGCTGGGACTGACGTCCGCCCCAGCAGCCATCCTGCCAAAACCATGGACTAGACCCTGGCAGGTTGGTGCAAAACCTGCAAGAGCTGAAAAAAACGAAGGCGCTGGGGTGTTCCCGAGGTCGCTGTATCCTGGGTGGCTGTGGTATGATCATGTCATCTCCTCCAGCTTCCCAGCATGACCGCACCACAGAAAAGGGCATCTCGCCTAACCTCCCCACCCCAGGAGCTCCCTTGGCTGAGCATCCTGCCCTGTGGGAGCCTCACCAAAAGGCCATCCCCAGCAGTGTCACTGCACCTCGGCATCTCTTTGGCACAGAACCCCTCCTGAGCCCGTGCCAGCCTGGCTAGGAGGGCTGCCCATGCACAACATCTTGATGACTTTCAGCTAGTTGGGGTCGAGGATTGTTATTGGTGTGCAGGGGAAGGGGGGTAGGGGTGGCCAATGTCACCCGCCTGCCCGCTGCGGTGGCACTCCTGACAGGGCAGGGACTGTCTGCCGGTGCCTCTGCAAAGTGCCTGGCAAGGCAGGTGCCTGCAAATGGGTTATGAATGACAATAACAACAGCAACAACAGCAAAGGGCGACCAATAGCCAGGGCAAAACTGGCTGTGCACCGAGCCCCTGACCAAGAGAAGATGCAGCCGCTGCTCCGCACCCGTCTGCTGCATGAGGGCTCAGCTCCCAGCCTGGCCCGGCTGCTCAGCGCTAGCACATCAGCGATAGGGGAAAAAAAAAATAAATTGCCCCCCAAAACCCTTGTTGCTACTCTAGCAAGGAGCCCAGGGGAGTCACCAGCCTCCTGAGGTGGTCCCAGGTTCTCCCTTTCCAGCTCTCCCCGCTGGGCTTCAGAAACGGAGCTGAGGGAGCATCCCAGGTAAACCGCAAAGCTGCACTCCCGCAGAGAGCGGATCTACTGTTTCACTGCAAGCCTGCTGGCTGCAGCTTGCTCGGGCCAGTTAAACAAACACACCTGAAAGACATCAAGCCTAAGCGCTGCCCGATGCCTGCGGTACGGAGGACCGTTCTCCGCCCCCCACCTCCCCCCTGCCCCCCATCTCCCCGACACACCCCCGCCATCGTTACGGGTTGCTGCCATACCCCTGGCTCCTGCGGGCTGCCATGCTCGCTCGCTCCCGCTGGCACCCTGCCTGCTCACCTGCCCGGCGCCCGGTGCTGCCCACAGCTTCTGCCCGCTCACCCCCACCCAGCCACGAGGCTCTTTCTTGGTCAGGGAAGGGATGAGGACAGGAGAGGAGAGGACTTCTGGGGCCGCTGGGTCTAGTCCCGTGGCAGGCACCGCCTCTTCGTAATGCCATCGAGCTT